GGGCGCCCCCGACGGCGGCGGGTGCCAGAGCCCCCTGCTCGGTGGCGCCCCGAGGACCCACTCGGGGGACGCGCTCTACCCGTGCCCCGCGTGCCGGAAGCCTTTCAAGCACCAGTCCCTGCTGCTCCTGCACCAGAGGCTGCACACGGGCGAGAAGCCCTTCATGTGCAGGGAGTGCGGCCGCGCCTTCGCCCAGAAGTCCATCCTGACTCTGCACCAGAAGACCCACACCCAGGAGAAGCCCTTCGCCTGCACCGAGTGTGGCAAGGTCTTCCGCAGGAGCCAGACGCTGACCGAGCACTACCAGCTGCACAGCGGCGAGCGGCCCTACGGGGGCCGGGCCTCCGCGAAGGCCTGCAGCCGGCTGCCCACCCTCGTCCGGCACCAGAGAGTCCACGGCGCAGAGCCGAGGCAGGGCCGGCGGGTGCCCCCTTCGGCTCCCCGCTGAGGCGACCACTGGTGGAGAGCCCATCCGGGAGAACCCACCCTGTGCCCCTGCCGGGCGTCCGTCCAGGACGGAGCCGGGCGGAGCCGGGGCTGTCGTTGGGCAGCCTGAGAAGTAGCGAGGACGCTCCCCACCCCACCCCCGGGCGGACGACCACTGACCACCAGAGGGCAGCACTTTTCAGCCACCTGGGTCTGGGCCTGGATGCTCACTCAGGCTCCAGTAAACCAAGTAGGGGTTATGGGTGGGTTTTGTTTTCTAACCTGTTTTACAAAACTGAGTTGTGATCAGATTTTTTTCTTAAAAAAGGATATGTTGTTTTCAGTTCTTCATTATTAGGGTTGACCAGGATCAGACCCTGTTTGCAGGGACTCCAGCCACCTTGTGGGAGGGAAAGGGGCATGGGGACATTTGGAAGTCATGGGTGGACCAAGGGTTTGAAAGGGAGCCAGGGCTGGAGGGGTGATGGTGGCAGAGGCCAGGACTCAAGGGGTGGTCCCCGGGCTCCCTGGCAGCACCGCCAGGGCCTGGCCAGGTTGGGTATGACCTTCCTTTGCCTGAATCATCTGCAGATGGTGCTGTCTAAGGAGAAGCCCCCTGAGGGCCTGCTGGCCAGGGAGGCCTCTTAGTGACCTCTCCTCACCATCAGCCCCTCCACCCCAGGAATCCTGAGAAGGCTCACAACCTGTTCAGGCATCTTACAAACATGTGCCAGGAAGGAAGCCAGCAGCCCTGAGCCGGGCTGAGGGCCTGAACTGCGAATGTGTATTTTATAATTAATGTGGCTTTTTTCTAAATATAAAGTTACTGTAGAGAATTTGGAAAAGGCAGAAACGTATGGAAAAAAAAAGAAACATAAAATACCCTTTGTCCACTCTCCAGAGATCACGACTATGATGTTTGGTGTTTTCTTAGTCTCTTTCTAATGCATTCGTGTCGATACTTGTTTTACTGATGGGGAGTATGCCTTGCCTAAACCTTGTGCCTGCTGATTGGCAGTGCCACTGTCCACCTGCCCTCTGTGTGGTTTACTTAGCAGCTCTCTCCTCAGACATTTGTTTCCCACGTTTTCACTGCTATCTTTGACCCCACTGCAGAGACTTCCTTGGGGTCGAGGTGGACTTTCCAGGTCAAGAATACTGGGGGTGGGGTGGGACTAATTTTAATCACTTCATTAATCTTGAAAAATGCCACTCTTGTCTTTTTTTGCATTTCTTGGCCTTTTCATGGGTGACTTCCCTGTAAGCTCTTGCACCCATTTTTACTGGGTTTGTAAGACCTCTGTGTTGTGTTCCAATCCCTTTCCCTTCGTATCTGTTTCCTCTATCGTGATACAAACCACGGGGCTTTTTTTGGTGGGGGAGGGAAGGTGGGGGGGGACTGCATCTTAGAATTGAAGAAGTAATATATCACAAATATTTGTTATGTATCAAATCATGGTAATAGTACGTGCCTCACAGGGTGTGGGTCCATGAAAACGCTAGTATTGTGCTCTGCTTTGGAATCAGTGGTGCAAACGTGCCCTCCTCCTGGGGTCCCTGTTGAAGGTCACCAGTATGCCCATTCCAAATCTGTCTCAAATCCTTCCTTCCATCACCATGTTCACAAAGCACAGCTCCTCCTGGCAGCTCCTGAGGCAGAGGTGCTGATTTGAACTTTACAGACCTCGTCCTGACGGCCTTGCTGAGGTCTCCCTCCTGCTTCCACGGGTAGAGCGGGCTCCACTAAGCACCCAGAGTCCTGCGGCATCTGCATCCAAGCCTGGCTAAGCCGGGCACAGAAGCCCCTCCAGGACCAGCCCCACCACTTCCTTCTCAGTTGCACTGGTTAACTGAAGTGATCTGCCCAGCTGTCTTCCCCCTGGTTTCACAGGCCACCACACCCACTCAGTCTGTGCCCAAGCCAATCCAGAGTCACCGGGGATGTGACTCACCTGATGTGTCCTCCTGGCTGAGCTCAGTTCACCTCTTGGGGTGGCCCAGGGGCAGGGTGTGGTGCCGGAGTCCCGCTCCAACAGGTCCAGGAGTACCCAGGGATGGACAGCATCGGCGAAACAGTGAGAGAGCCAGTCAAGGCTTAATCACCATGCAGGCAACTCTGCAAGGCTTTCTTTATTTGTGGTATTTATACACTTTTATCAGACAGGTGATTTCACATTGTGGCCAAATTGACTCTTACACCTTCATTGTTTACACTGTTGACCTTTTTCCATACCCGGATGTGGTCATGGGCCTTTTTCGACTTGGCTGAACGTCATCACCTTTATGATTTCTTAAATTTTCCTCTTAGCCTTTTACTTAGTTAATCATTACCCCTTAATCCATTCTCAATTTTATCCCTAAGAACAGCTCCTAACCGAAGACTATTTCACAAAAACAAGCACAAGAAGAAAAGGTCACAAGGGTCCCAGCCAACTGGCGCCTGGAACCCAGACAGTGGGCTGATTAATGTTCCTATTACCTACAAGGAAAGCAGTCTAACTTATAGATGTCTATCTTATGTTTCTTACAGATCTGATGGAACACATTGTCTTTAGGGCTTGAGGCATGACACACCATGGGGGCCCTGATCTTTTGATTTGTTCCCAAGTACTTTCATTGAAATTTCCATTGTTTGGATTGCCCTGCACAGTCATCATCATAGCCCCTATTATTTCCCCAGATTGAGAATCACCCTGTACAATTTTCAAAAAGCCCATGTATCCCAAAGATATCCCCAATCCAACTATAGGCACTATGAACAACAGAAGGAAATGCCAGTATTTTCCAGAGTGACGACTGCTTTGCAATCCGCACGGCCACTTTGCCCCGACTTTGTCAAGGGGCATCGACATTGGTGGAATGGCCCCCGGCAGCGTGGGGCCCTGCCTTGGAAGTGCACAGGTCCCTTCCGATTGCTGGGGAGGCTGGGTCATGTCGCCTCCTGGGGGCGCTGGAAGAGAGGACAGCTAGAGGGCAGGGGTCCCCACAGCCAGAGCAAGAGTGAGTAGGATGTGGCCATAGGGGCCCGGCTGAGAAAGGAGCCTGGAGAGAGGCGTGTGGAGCCGAGGGCATCTCTAAGGACTGTGGCCCAAGAAGGTGTGAATCAGGGTGGCAACAGCCCCAGGAGCGGGGCAGAATGGACACAGACTTTCATCCCAGGAATGGCCAGGCTGGGCACAGGGGGACCTTGGGGGGGCCATGCTGGGAAGGTGCCAGGTGGGTGCTTGAGGCCAGCCTGCAGAGAGGCAGCCCACTCCCAGGGCTCTGCCTCAGGAGACCTAGTGACAAAGGCCAGACCACCTGGAGGTGTGGCTGGTGAAGTTGGGTATGACTGGGGGCATCCAGGTGGCATCTGGTCCCTGGGTGTGGAACTCCGTGGGGATTACAGGCTCAGGGCAGCCTGAACATCCAGAAATGACTGAGGGTTTCGGTAAATTCACCACTGGAGCATGAAAAGGGCGGCAAGGAGGGCCTTGGAGAGCTTGACACTTAAAGGGCATTAGAGGGCCACAGTAAGATCCTGTAGGAGCAGGAGGTGATTCTCGGGGTGGTGGCTCCCAAGCGTTCCTGTCTCCTGCCTCCGGCTCTCGGCATCAGCCTGCCTGCATTGGGTTTAAAGGACCAGCACGGAGAGCAAGCAGGCAGGGGGATCACTCTCTGTCTCAGGGACACACAGAGGCACAAATGCCTGGCCCTGGCACCAGCTCAACAAGCCGGCTGGGAAGCCACTCAGGGTTTATCTGCATTTGGGGGCCTCAGAGGGCCTGAAGGCAGGGTACCCTTTGCCTCTAGGATGTTCAGGGGATTGTGAGTGGGTCCTTGTTAGTCCAACCATCCCTCTGCATCCACAAACAGCTCCTTTGTTCCACCCTTCCCCTTGTTCAGCACACATGCTGTGTGTTACCTGTTGGACCTGTTTCATCCACCCTCGTTTGTTGTTTTTCTAAAGAAGAACCAAATATTCTGGAATTGTCCAGGAAACATACATGACCGGGCCTTTATGCTTTCACTTTGAGTTAATCTCAGCTCACTAGCATGAGCACAAAGGGGATTTCCTTCTGATTTTGAAAAAATATTAGCAAATCCCTAAAGGATTTGTAGAGTGTGGTTTTCTAAGTAAGCTAAGAATATACTCAAAGTGCCCTTTTTCCAAACAAAGGAAGCCCATTTTTCAGCCCTGACTTTCTTTCCAACTTTTTAAAGTGTGGTAAAACATGTTATATTTACCATCTTAGCCATTTTGGTGATATTAAGTATATTCATATTGTTGTGCAACCATCACCACCATCCATCTCCAGAACTCTTCATCTTGCAAAACTGAAACTCTGTCCCAATTAAAGAGTAACTCCCCACCCACCACCACTCCTAGCTCCTGGCAACCACCATTCTACCCTCTGTCCCTATGATTTTGACTACTCTAGACTGACTTAGCCCAGTGTCCTCCCAGTTCATCCATACTGTGGCATGTAACAGGTTTTTTTCATGTTGAGTAATATTCCATTGTATGTATGGACCACATCTTGCTTATCCATCATCTGTAGATGGATACTTGGGCTGCTTCCACCTTTTGGCTATTGTGAATAATGCTCCTATGAACATGGGTTTAAATATCTCTTTGAGAACCTGCTTTCAAATCTTTTGTGTGTATATCCAGAGGTGGAGTTGATTGATCATATAATTCCATGTTTAATTTTTTAGAACCCCCATACTATTCTCCATAGCGGCTGTACCAATTTACATTGCCACTAGCAGTGTACAAGGGTTCCAACTTCTCCACATCGTTGTCAGCACTTGTTGTTTTCTGTTTTTATGATAGTAGCCATCCTGATGGGTATGAGCCCTGACTTTTAACTTGCAGTATCCAAATGGGTACTAACAGGAAGCAGCTTTCCTCTTGGAAAAGAACCAAAAATACTAGTGACAATCTAGGAAAGTGAATTTTGTGAAATGTGCATCTCTGAATCACTCTTCAGCCATATTTTTTCCATATTTGGATTCCATCCTGACTAAGCTTGAATCCCCGTTCTGAGTGAAGGAAAGTATTTTGTTTCTGGAAATCCTGTTTTTCAGCTTTTATTTCCCTTTAAAGAAAAACAGTTTGCTGGCCCAGAGGTTAGTCTTTCAAACAAGCTTCTGTTCAGCACATGTGGTCTTTGTTGAGCACAGGAGAGAGATGGCATATCACAGGCTCTGCTTTGAAAGACTCGGGTCCAGGTGGGAAAAACCTGAGTACAGGCAGGAGTCAGGAGCACAGGCCTGTGACCTGGGGCCCCTGCGACCCATCTCCTCAGGACCCCCTGGTACCCACCTTCAGCTCTTCATTCATTTAGCTCTCAGGATTCCGAGCCCCTGACCTCCTCAGGTGACATTTCCCTGGGGGCTCAGGGAACTTCTGCTTCTGTTCAGGGTTCTGGGGTCTCCTGGTTCTGCCTGCCAGCTTCTGAGCCAAGCAAGGCTAGATCCAAAAGGCATTCCTAGAGATAGCAAACGACCCCTGAGAGCAAGGCTTTGATGCAAACCAACCAATTCAGAGCTGACTCCCAGCTATCTCCTTTATCAAACTCACATATCACACCAATATCCCCTGCCCTAAATCACCCCAGGGCCAGGTGTCAGACAACTACAGACCATTCCTACAGCCTGTAGCCTGTTGAAATTACTCAAACTATATGGTCCTTAGCTAATTCAGAGGACCTGCCCTGCCTCACCCATTCCTTGCTGCAGAAACCCCAGTAAAGGCCCTGGGCCACACTCTCTCTCCCTCTTCTGCCTCCTGACCAACCTGGCGCTTCCCTGTGTAGCCCTGCATGGTGTGCCCTGCTTCCTGTTTCTTGAGACCTGTGCGTATAAACATCTTCCTTCATTTCTGAGTCTGCATGTCTTACCATCCCTGATTAAAACAAACCCAAGGTACATTTTAACATGCCAGGGGACCTTTGAGTGCACACAGATGGTGATGGCCCTCAGTGGGGCTCTGTCCCAGTTTGTGGAAAATATTATTGCTCTGGGCCATCTACAAGAATGCAGAAAGTGGCCTTGGAAATACATCCTTTGAAATGATTTTTAAACTGGGCTTTCCCCCTGGGATACAATCCCAATTCCAGGCTGGAATAACTGGAAAGCCATCTGGTCTGGCAAAGAGAAGGGGCACAGTGACCATTCAAGGGACCATACAGGCCCCTGTCTGTCAACAGTCTGTTTGCTCAGTGGGTCTGAGGCTCAGGGAGGATTATGGGACTGAGGTGGGGAGGCCCTGGAATAGCCTGTAGTGGTTGGATGCAGTCCCCTTGACCCACACCCCCACGTAGCACCCTCAGCTCTGCCCAAGTGTCTGCTGGGCGGACACCTGGTCACCAGGCTCAGGCACTCGTGGTGGCGGAGACGGCTCTGTCCTCAGAGTCTGCAGACCCAAACGTCAGCCCTGGCTCCTGCTCTTGCTCCCTGTGTCATCTTGGGGTTGCCCCTCACCTTGAGCACTCCAGGCTTGCCAGGACCTCCAAGTCTGGGTGGTGCTGTGTGAAGATCTTCCAGCTGGGAGGCTCCCGGTAGGTCGGGACCGCCAGTGAGCTCAGTGTACCAGGGTCATTCCTGGATGCACTTGTTTGGGGGCAGGACCTGGAGGGCGCCTGGGAAGCAGGCATATTCCCTGTCTTTCCCCATTCTCCATTCACTTGTTTAATCATCCTTTGCACAGATGCTTTCTGAGCATAACCAGGGAGGAAGTGAGAATGGGAGAGTTGAGATCGAGACGCGGAGGCGTCGGGTGGGGGCGCCGAGACCAGAGACCACGGGGCACAGGGGCTCAGGGAGAGGAGCTGGTTCCTCCGAAGGCATTTGTTTTTCCCTTCGACCTCGACCTCCGGTAGGAAGCTGTCGGGGAGCCGACCCCGCCCACTTCCTTCCTTTGGCTTCTGCCCGATTTCTCCGTGGCTCTGAGCGACCCCGGGATTTGGATCGTTAGGAGTCGGGTGTCAGGGCCCTCCCCGCGAAGAGATCTGCGCACTCTGTGCCCCGCCCTTCCCACTTTCAGGGTTGCAGGGTGTGAACTGCGGGTCAGCCAAGCACAGAGCAAACCCGCAGGTGAAGACCTCCCAGGACCGGAGCCGCACGTGGAAGCTGAGGCCCCCAAAGACGAAGGCAGCGTCCTACCCAAGGCTTTTGCGGTGCTTTGGCCTGGCCCCCAATCGGGAGGCTCCTCCCGGGTCCCAGGGAACTCGGGGTGAGCCTGCCCCCACAGACAGGGTAGAGCCTGGATCTGGGAGAACACGCAGAACAGATTGTCCCGGGGTCCACACGAAGCTGGGGATGGTTGGGGGCGCAGCGAAGAGAAGCCCTGACCTGACTTCGGGGCGCGCCGCCCTTCGCCTGGGGTCCCATCCCACGCGGTCTCTCGGCAGGTTCTAGGCTGTCCTGCTCCCCGAACCCCGCGACCCTGGGACGCAGCCAGGGACACCAGCCTGGCGTCCCGGGTGACTACCCTCCGCTGGGCTTCTCCGTCTCTCGGTGGTCCACAACCTTCCTGAGGGCCCTCCTAGCCTCATCTCTGGCCTGTCGGTGCCCTGTCCCAACTCTGCGGTGCCCTCGGCCTGGACCACCTGCTCCACCAGGCTCGGAACACCTGATCTTTCCACACAGCTTCTCTGCGCCGCCAGCTGGCCGCTCCCCCCGGACACCCTCCACCCGGGGCAAGGCCTGGATAGGGGCGTCTCCGTAGTCCTGGGGCCTGGAACGTGCCCAGCGGTTGCATTCAGCTACAGAGAAGCCCGGACACAGATCTCGGGACTGGTGACCCGAGGTGCGCGGGACCGGCCCGGGCGACCCTAAGGCTCTCTTTCACTCCACCGGGATCCGCTCCTCCCCGTCCTGGGAGGAGAGAAACCACGCACCAGCCACGGCTCCGGCGCCGCTCTCCCCAGCGGCGTCTTTTCCCGGACAATCTGGCCCCGCCGCCTGCCCACCGGGCTGCTGGGCTGGGAACCACCGAGTCGCCCGAGCCTCCGAACC